GGCTCTGTCTGTCTGTCCATGCCCCATGTCCCCTGCCCCCTAGGAGGGCTCTGTCTGTCTGTCCATGCCCCCTAGCATGATGGCTGTAGACACTGCTGCTCTCCACAGCCAGCATCACCCTCTGCAGAACAAGATGAGGCCGTTTGTGTTCAGAGGGTGGGGACTCCCCTTCCTATGTCCTAGACAGCAACACTGTGCCCGCTCCGCAGGGCCCTGAACCTTCTCCTCTGCACAAGGTGACAGGCTGGCTGCATTTGGCACCGTGGGCTAAGAAGGACTCTGTGCCCACAAACTCGTGATCAGAGCACGACCCCATGCAAAAGGATGCATGGAATCCAACACCAGCTCTATCAGGAGCAGCTTGCAGAAAAGGCGAGCAAACTAAGGAAGTAGGGCACATTTTACAGTGTTTTCTTAATGATTCTGTTGTTGTTCAGTGCTTTCAAGTCAGTTCCAACTCATGGTGACCTTGTATAAGGTACCTGAGTGGATGGTGGATTTGAACTGCTGACCTTGTGGTCCAGTGCTTATCCTACAGCGTCACGCTGGGACATTAGAAACGCAGAGATGTTGAAGCCTACTGCTATCCCCTCACCCCCGACTCACAGCAACTCTGTAGGAGAGTGGGACCGCTCCTAAAGGGTTCTGAGACTGTAAAGCTTTATGGGAGTAACCAGTTTCATCTCTCTTCCTTGCAACAGCTGGTGGGCTTGAACTACTGACCTTGTGGTTAGCAGCTCGGTGCTTAACCCACTGAACTACGAGATCTCCTCTGTTGTTGTTAAGTGCTGTCGAGTCGTTTCTGACTCCCAGTGACCCTGTATAGGGTTTCTCAGGAGCAGCTGGTGAGCTTGAACTGCACACCTTGCTCTGCAGTCCAGCGCATTCACCAGAAAGCCACAAATCATCGTGTAGATTTGTTACAGCTCAGATAGTCTCAGTCACCTACCCCAAACAAAGGGGACCCCGGTTCGTGAGGATATGGGGCCTTTTCCAACTACAACTACATGTTCAGGCCCCAGATGCTGCCCAGAGCGATTGTGCCATGGTTGTTCAATGGTTGTTTTGGGTTGGTACTCTTATTTCAGACAGTGAGTACCTGGAGGTGTGGGTGGCCCAGTTCTGTCCAGTAGGTCAGGTCCACAGACAAATATGGAGCAGACACTGACCCCAGCCACCAAGTGCCACACCAAGGACTTGGACGAGGATCAGTCCCAAAGGACTGCTACGGAGTCACAGTACTCCTTGATGAAACAAAAATCCAAATGTGGAATTCTCGTTTCTCAACAGAGCCTCCTCCATCTAGGGTCATTTTGCATCTTTCGAACCCTTCCCTGAAGAACTCTGTGCTTTTTCATTTCATACTATGACAAAATGGCAGCTTGGGGATCTTCAAGGACTCAAACTGGGTTCCTTCCTTCTAAATGTTCTTTGAGTTTGGGTAACTAAATGACGTCTTAAGAGGCAGGATCAGGCTCTAGGGTGGATGGGGTTAAGGCTTCCCAGTGAAGTTCTCGTAGAATGGTCTTTACTACTGTACAGAATGAGCAAGTGCATTGTTGGGATGGGAGAAAAAATTCTAGCCTGTTCCCCGTCAATATAGTTTTCCATTTTCTTAAAACATATCCATACTAAGACTGTCCTATGTCCTTACAAGTTCATCCTTTTGGAATCCCCAAAAAACAAAACCTTCTGAGTGGACCTCTGCCTTGAGTTAAAGTGAGATTCCACTGTTTTGATTGGAGCTGGCTCTCTGGATTGCATTGGTCAATCTAAGACTTGCTGGAGGTTACAAAGTTTCATAAACTCACCTTCATTAGCTTACAAGACTGATGGAGAGATCAGCTCTTTGAGCTAGCTGATCCTGCATGTTCTTGCCACCCATCGAGCTGAAAGCTTTGCTGAGGCCAAATGATTCGCTTATAACTGGAACTGTCCCAGCAGTGATGGCCCCGCCTCCTCAGTAACTGTCCCAGCAGTGATGGCCCCGCCTCCTCAGCAGAGCCAACTGGTCCACCTGTTTCTGGACTTGAGGCACAATGTCTCCAGTCATCAAGGTTGCCATCTGCCCTCTCTTGAGGTCTTTTCAACCTTTCTTACAGCACTTGGGCCATCTAAAACTCTTCGTTTTCTGTGGGGCAGCATTCCTGTACATTTGTTGCAAAGCTTCAATGATTCAGAAAAATGTCCACTTGAGTTTTGCTAAAAATTTGTTATTAGCTCTGACCTCAACATCATTTTTCTCATGGCACCCTTAACAAAGTACACAGCTGAGAGAATTTCTAGTCATTCTTCTCCTGCAAAGATTTAATGCCTCAGAAGCCCTACACAGGGTGGCTGAGTTGGAACAGACTGCAGAGATGTTTAGAACGGTTTAGTCGGAGTGAGTGAACCTGTGTAGGTACAAAATGGAATGCTAGCAGTAGCACTTTCACTGGGTCTGCTCCTGACTGTAAACTGGGGAGAGCTAAGGCAGTCCTGTCGCCCACCAGAGACAGGACTGGGCTTCACCAGGTGCTGAACAAGACGACAAGCACCCCAGCGCTCCCTGCCTCACCTACACAGTGTACGCCACGAGATGTGACCTGGGACCCTGTGCGCCCACACCCTCAACAGGAAGTCAAGGGCGATCTGGAGACTCAGCCATGGGTCAGCATGCCAAAGCCACTTCAAGCTGGCAATGGCCCCAGAGAACGACAGCTCCCTAGCGTCCTCGTGAGTGGTCCTACCGCTGGGAATTCTGAAACAGCAGAGGTCGGTGTGTCGACACTGCACACGCTCACCACCTCCCTCAGGGAATCGCTGTGCAGGGCCCATACGCTCTCCTGTGGCCACTGGAAATCAGAGGAGGGCTTTTGGCAGGCCCAGCACGTCCAGGCCAGGGGTCGACAGTTCTGCCCATCACCTTGTTTTGTAAAGACAGCTGGACTGGTGCACAGCAACCGCTCGGCCGACCCTGACTGGGGTTAGTGTGCAGAACAATGCTGGCCCCCTGGCTCAGTCCGACTCTGCAAACTCTTCAGAGGGAAACCAAGGCAGGAAGCTTGCCAAGCAGAGAACATTCACATCTTCCAAGTGGCCCCTCTCCCTGACTCTCACAGTGGAACACCTGGGCTCCCGTGGGCTCTTAAGTGGGCAGAAATGGGACACATCCCTCTCCGACAGGCCTGCTCCTCACCAGTCAGGGGCTTTCCTCCTGCACACTCTCAACATTGCTGTGCTTACCTTTTTCATGTACTCAGTGACTGGGTTCTGCTGCAAGAATTCCGTGCTCTCCCTCGTGTAGAACCGCTCAGTATCAGCCAGAAACTGGGATTCAAAGGATTCTTTATACACAGTTAGCGTAGGACCCTTGGCAAATGCATCATCTTCATTGAGCCCCAATTCCACTGCAAGAGACAGGAACCACCTTTTAATCACCCCATTCTCTGCATGTAGCCTTCAGTTGTTACAAATGGTAACTCAAGTGGGAGGGCATCAGAAAAATCCTGTACTCCTAAAGGTTAAACTGCACTGTTTTAATAAAAGAAAAAAAGAGATCTGGGATGTAGAAAATTAAGTAACTCTGATCTAGGGTCAGGCAGTTTCCAAAGTGCACAAGAAGTTCATTTAGAGAACTTTCATAGTTCCAAAAACTTAAAAACAATATAAATAATGACTTTAAAACAAACATTAAGAAGGGGAGAGGCCAACTAAATGAATGGAGATGGAACAACCAGAACTGAGATCACAAGAGTGTTCAGGCTGTGAAGTGTGTAAGTGCCGTCCCCGAGCGCTCCGTGTGGGAACTTTCACACTGTGAAGTGTAATCTCTGTCCCCAAGCACTCTGTGTGGCGATCACTGAATGGAACCCTAAACTGCTGTGGCAAGCCTTCACTGAAGACAAATGCATTACTTAGGGGAAAAAAAAAAAAAATCAGTAAAAATGACTAATTTGAACCTACTGAAGAAATGTTAAGCTCTCAGAATCTCTCCCTTGTTTTAAAAATATTGTACTACTCTAATGTACTGATTTTGTGGTTGTTGTTGTTATGTGCCGTGGAGTCGGTTCCGACCCAAAGCGACCCTGTACAGGGTTTCCAAGGCTGTAAATCTTTACAGGAACAGACCGCCTCATCTTTCTCCTGCGGAACAAGCTGGTAGTTTCGAACTGCTGATCTTGCGGCTCACAGCCCGATTCGTAACCACTATGCTACCTCAAATTTTCAAATGGAAACAGATTTCTGGTTCTCATGCCACTCCATTACCGATAGTCTCTGTACTATCCACCAATATTCCTGATTAGTCCTTTATTGTGACAGAAAGATGGAACTCAACTGTTTGTTCCATCAAAATTTCCTCAAAGAAGCAAAATAACTTTGAGGATAGCAAAAATCAACGAGAATCATGTTGACATGGAATTGTAACTGCCTTTGTACATGATAACAATAGTCTTGATAATACCGAAATAGTTGAATCTGATTTTGTTGGAGCGCCATTTGATAGGAAAATGCTGAGTAAATAAAGAGAAACTGTTTACCGTAAGACTGTACAACTCCACTAATCAGTCTTGTATTGATGGTTTCACCATTTCTTTCCTTTTCAATCAATTTCAAAACAGCATTTGTTACCTTTAGAAAGAATAAAGATTATCGAGAGAGAGACAGGTTACATAGTCTAGTACACACACCACAACCGCTACACGTCACTCAAGCACTCAAATCTACAAATCTTCTGACACATCGCAAAGGAACAAAAATCATAAAGGCCAAGAAGTGAACTTGTGAGGGAATTTCAAAGGAAAACATCCAACTTACTTATCACAAGTATGCATACCCACACGTCAGCACACCCCCACACCTCCTACATGCTTATGCATAGCTCCACACACATACTCATTCACATGTATGCACACACCCGGCCCCACACACCTGTGCACAGCCCCCCCCCATGCACCCACTCACAGGTACACACACACACACCTCCCCACATGCATGCACTCATATGTACACATACCTCCCCACATGCTCATGCACAGACCTACACACGTACATACTCACACATACGTACATATGTGTACACACACACAAACAGGTACCTGTTTATTCAATGGCCTGAACAGACAGTCTCTCCAAGTCACCAATGCAAGCTGAAAAAGGAAAAGGAAAAGCATCTGAGCTCTATGGTTTGCAAGATTGAAGTCATACTTGTGACTGAGTGGCTTCTGACTCTCAGTGACCCTGTATAGAGTTCCTGAGGAGCACTGGTGGGTTTGAATTGCCCACCTTGTGGTTAGCAGGCCAGTGTTGATCCTACCTAAAGTACGTAACTCCAACTCCACAGTACATTTATTCATGGAGCTAGCTGCGAGCTTGGAGACAGTCCTGCCACGTGACAGACTGCAATGCTGCTGTCATGTTAAAACCTTCAATAGTTATCAATGTAGCAATGCATTCTTTATTTGCATTTTAACGGCTACATAGTAAAACAAAAATCTGGATTTACAGAGAAGATCCATCAGCTCAAAGAACAATGGATTTCATCTATAATGTTCCTTGGTGGTGGGGGTGGTGTGCTGTGGAGTTGGTTCTGACTCCCAGCAACCCTGTACAAGGTTTCTGAGGTTGTCAACCTTATCGGAGCAGAAAGCCTCCTCGTCCATGGAGTGCTGGTAGACTGAACTGCTGACCTTGTGTGAGCAGCTCAGCTCGTAACCCACCACGGTACCAGGGCTCCTTAGGTCATCAAAATCCACGAAATCCAGTAGCTTCGTGGTGCTGGCTCTCTCACGAGTGGGCACACAGTGCCGTATCTCACGGTATGCCTTCAGTGGGTACTGTAGATTTTACATAAACTGCTCCTCAATGAAGCTGACTTAAAAACATCTAAGAACGTAGATACGTGGACTTTTTAAACTGTGAAAGACGACTACAGTAATTTAAAATTTTATATATTATCTCAGAAAGTGCCTTGTGTTGATCATATTTTGCTGAGACTGACACGCTTTTCTTAGAGCACATCCATTTGGTCCATATGACCAACGAGGAAGTTGTTTTCACTTCCAACAGTGTTTGCTCGCACTGATGGAACATCTAACGTCCAACCCTGTCACTCAGGCCTCAAAGGGGGATAATGGGCACGTCCTGGTGCACCCTAGCGACCGCACCAAGGAGCCATCGGTCACCCTTACCTCGGGTCACACAATTGAGGGAGATGTACTGTGCCAGTGTCCCAGAACCCTTTACTGAGGGATCAAAACCAGGAAATGTGCCTCCTATGCTGAGGGTCCCGGTCCCGACCCCCTGCTCGCTCTAGGAGGGCACGGCGTGTGTCCTTACTGAGTAAATCTCATAGATCCCTTTCCGGCCCTCGTCACACTCGCGGCGGACCCAGTGTCGGTTGAGGTAGGCACAGATCCCGTTCAGCACTTTGCTTGAGAACCGGTAGTCTTCCCATTGCTGAGTGTAGAACTTGAGGACGCTCTCATCCATCAGATCTTCTCCATCCTACAAGTATGGCAACTAGAGCTTAACACACAGTGAGTTAGAGAGACCGTGAACAAAACCCCATTCCATTGAAATATACTGAGGTAGATGGTGTTGGAGTGGAGGGCTTTCAATCATCCTGCATAAAGACCAGTTCTCACAAGAATATGGAACTATGGAACTTGAGATGGAAGACAGAATGTGGATGAAAATCTTTCATCACAAATTAAACTGGATCTGTGTTCACGGTATTAAATATGTACATATACTCAGGACAAGTGTTCCGGACTTCCAGATCAGGAGGTGACATGCTGTTAGAGAGAGGGCTTACAAATGTTTGTGTCTGACACAAAACAACACACTTTACAAATAAAACACAGAAGACTCCAACACACAATCATAGGCTAGAACAACCAAACACAACGTGGTTAACAATGTAAGGAAAGGTACTAGATGGCACAGGGATCAAAACCTCCCCATTTAACAAGGTTGTGAACACAGACAGACAGAGACTCCGTACCCAGCAGCACTCAGCCAGTACACAGGGGATCTGTGCTCAAGGCAGCCAGTTAGACTTTAGTCTTTTTGTAGAAATGCTCAGTACACTGGAAAACATCTTACCTTAAGAAGATTTGTCAAGTAGTTCTTCAAGAACTCCTTAAGACGTTTGTATAGCTCCAAGCCGACAAACTGGGCCCCTCCGGGTGTCTGCCCCTTCTTAGACTTGGAGGAAGGGACACCGGCCCCTCGAGCCTGGTTTGACTGGTGCACGCTGGTACAGTAGTTGTACACGTGGCTTGGAGGACAGTCAAGGAAAACCACACATTCTTGTGTTTAATTATCACTACGTTTCCGACACAGCAACAGAGACGCGCTAGAGCTTGAATGGAGACACAAGCTCACTCCCAGCACCAACAGTGCAGATGTCCCCAAGCCCCTGGGATGTGGGGGCCACACAGCCAGGGAAGGACCTGAAGGAGGATGGTGAGGTCAGAGCTCTGGGTGAGGCTGAGCTTGTGGGAAACCACCCTGTGAGGAGACTTCAGCAAGTGGTACAAAGAGGAAGTTACAAATGAAAGACGGGACCAACAAATCTGGTGTGATGCCCAGCTCTGAAATATTAGAACCGAAGTCTAGTCTCCCAGTATAAGAGCAAGTCATGGCATCTAAAGAGACTACACAAAAAGTAAGCAGCACCATACGCTCCTGAGAAATATGGGGGGTGGGGTGGGGGGCTCAGTTAGGAGGAAGAGGAGCAGACCCTCACCCTATGCTGTTGTGGGAGTCAGTCCCGACTCCTATCAGCGCCTGGTCAACCCACACTCAGCAAGGCATCTAAATGCAGGCAGAGTGCAGCTGATGATGACAGACTCAAGTCTCACTGTAAGTCACTCACTGCAGAATACACACACAGCAGCAATTGGAGAAGAAAAGCTGAGCAGACCACAATGTTGCAAATAAAGAAAGTCATTTTCAGGCAACTATGCAATAGTAACTGCTGTATGCTTTCAGACAGACAGACACAAAGTCTACTTTCAGAGCGCCAGATCAGTTCGAAGACTCTACAGAGGGGTCCTGAAAGGGGAAAAATGCAGAAAGGAATTTCAACTTCTCATGAAATCCAGACTGTCTGGAGCCAAGAAAGTTGGATGAATCCCTGAAACTATTGCTCTGAGAGTCTCTTTAAACCTTAAATCAAAAATTTCCCCTGAGGCCCCTCTTGAAACCAAGTCAGTTTACCTGATCAAGTCAAGATGGCTGCCTTGATAAGGTGATCTACATGGGATCAGAAGGAGCCTTGGTTATATGTATTAGGTTACAAGTCGGGACACTAACCTCAAGGTTGGCAGTTTGAACCCACCAGCTGCTCTAGGGGAGAAAGACAAGGCTGCCTGCTCCTGTTAGGATTGAGGGTCTTGGAAACCCAAAGGGGCACAGCTCTATTCTGTCCTATTGGATCACTGTGAGTCAGAACCGACTTCATGGCAGTGAGTTTGTTATGTGGATCAAACCGACACCAGCAACTCAAAAGATCAGACATGAAGTGTAGGGGGCAGAGGGTGGATGTCCATGGGGGAGGGGCAACTCAGAAAGGAGGCGGAGCACGCTCACACAGCTCAGAGAATGTCATCAGAGGTGTCTAAGGAGGAGGAAGTGTGGAGTGGTGCTGCGTTCTGCAGTATACATTCTCAACAATAACAACATTAATTGATACATGTTGTTGTTGTGTGCCGTCGAGCTGGGTCTGACTCACAGGGACCCTGTATAGGGTTTTCTAAGGAATAGCTGCTGGGTTTCAACTGCTGACCTTGTGGTTCAGTCCAGTGCTGACCCTACAAATGCAACACCAGTTCGACAAGTGTATATATATATATATAAAGTACCAGGTCAGTAAGAAAACATAGAGACAAATTTTTGCAAGTACAATTAGGATTTGTATTTGCAGAAGGAAATAAAGGCAATAAAAATTAATATGCAGTATCTTAAGATACATGCTCTGTGCCAAAAATCTGAAAGTCTAGCTGAACCTTTGAAAACCCTCCCTGACCCAGGTTCCCAGAGCTGAACCCTGCCACGTGACTTGCTATGGCCAGTCAGCAGCCCTGGTCTCTTTCATTAGTTCCTAGTAGAAAGTCTACTGGAGAGCTTTGTGTGTATACCATTTCCTTAGAAGAAAATTAGTTAAAAGTTTAAAAGCACTTGCGGGCCACAGGGCACGTGTAAGACCAGGTCTTCGGAAATGCGTTCCTCAATCTTTCTAAAGTACTGGAGCAGCCAGCACGCATTGCACTTTCCGACAGTGGCTGTAGGGGCTTTGGGTGGAGGAGAATGCGAACCAGAATGGGCACATGGGAAGGGGACATTCGGCCGAGGGGTGAGCCCTGCCAGGAGCCTGAGGTGGGAGATAATACACACTCACACCTGCGTGGTCACCAGCCATCTCAGAGGTGGACACTGTCTCTGATGATCAAGAGATTTGGTGGCTGTGCCATGTGCCTGCTGCCTTTGTTTTCTAAGAGGGAGACTCGGGTTCTAAGGAGCTCTGGTAGCATAGTGGTTACAAATCGGGCTGTGAACCGCACGGTTAGCAGTTCGAAACTACCAGCTGCTCCGCGGGAGAAAGATGAGGCTTTCTGCTCCCATAAAGATTTACAGCCTCGGAAACCCTGTACAGGGTCGCTATGGGTCGGAACCGACTCCACGGCACCTAACAACAACAACAGGGTTCTAGTGTGGCACCAGCCTGTAACTTTCCCCTTTGGTTATCACTTGGGTTTATGGTCATTTTACAAATTCAGGTCTGTTCTGCTTTCACTTCATCAAGCATGACCCAAGAGGGAAGAACCAGTTTGAATGAAGTTTTGTTTTAAAATCATTTCTAGCCTGACCAGCCATCAGTCATGTGCTTACTGGCTTGCACACTTCTTTTTGTGAGCTGGCTCTGCTCTTCAGCACCTCACTTTGGAAGCTGGTATAACTGTGTACATGAGGACTATTCTTTGTTGCTGTTAAGAGCTGTCGCGTCGGTACTGACCCATAATGACCCAATATAGGGTTTCCAAGGAGCAACTGGTGAGCTTGAACCATCAACCTTCAGTTCAAACCGACCTTGCGGTCCTGCAACTTGTCCTACAGCGTGCCACCGGGACCCCTAGACATGAGGACAGTAAGTTAGATTTGGGAAAAACCTTCTATGCTTCAAATTTACTTGATGTGAGCAAAGCCGAGACCCCAGAATGAAAGTGCCAGGATGTGGGCGGGCCGTCACGGATCTCTGGTGGCAAGGTCAGAGGTTTAAACTCACCAGGTGCTCTTTGGAAATCCCTATATAGGGACACTGAGTTAGAACCCACTCAATGGCACTAAACAACAACATAACGCAAAGAAGGAGCCCTGGTGGCACGGTGGGTTAAGCACCAGGCTGCTAGCTACAAGGCCGGCAGTTCGAATCCACCAGCCACTCCGGAGGTGCTGAGGCTACCTGTTCTGGGAAAAGATTTCCAGTCCCAGAAGCTCTAAGGTACCGTCTGCCTGTCTGTCTAATGCGGTGCCGATGGCCTGAAATTTGCTGAATGGCAATGGCTTGGGCTTGGGTTTATAAAGGCAAGGGGAGGACTGTGTAGAGCAAACCAAAGAGAAAGGCCGCTAGGGCCTCGTGCAGGAACCCAGCCACTGAGCAAGGCTACCAAGTGCACATCTGCACAGCTGGGCTAGCTGAGCACACGGCCCTCACAAAGCACAGTGCATACACGGCAGGTGGACAGTGAGCTCAGGGAGCGCGCTTCGCATCAGGAACACCAGTGCAGAGGCTGAGCGAGACTGGACGGGCCTGGGCCATGGCTGCCCAAGGGATGAGCAGTCATATGTCCTCAGTGTCCTGGCTGGCGATAAAAAGGCTCTGAAAACAGCCAAGCAGAAGAGGAACTGAGCTCACAGCGCTGTTGCTTCTTGTTGTTAAGGTTCCAACTCAGAGAGACCCTTAACAGGGTTTCTGAGGAGCAGGGAGTGAGTTTGAACCACCAACCTTCAGTTCAAACCAACTTTGTGGTCCAAGGGGAAATAAAAACCTCCACGTGTCTGTGGATGGGCTTGTCCAAGGAGATGTCTAGACTTCGGGGTGTGGAGATGTCTAGATTTCGGGGTGTGGCGATGTCTAGATTTATGGGGTTTGGAGATGTCTAGATTTATGGGGTGTGGAGACGTCTAGATTTCAGGGTGTGGAGACGTCTAGATTTACGGGGTTCAGAGACGTCTAGATTTATGGGGTGTGGTGACGTCTAGATTTATGGGTGTGGAGACGTCTAGATTTCGGGGATGTGGAGACGTCTAGACTTCGGGGTGTGGAGATGTCTAGATTTCGGGGTGTGGTGATGTCTAGATTTATGGGGTATGGAGATGTCTATATTTATGGGGTGTGGAGACGTCTAGATTTATGGGGTGTGGAGATGTCCTGAGATGTTTTTCTCTGCCTAAGTGTCCTTCCCTCCCCGACTTGCCACTCTTTGAGTCGGAGCAGCAAGAAAAACGCGTACTTTGTGATAAAGTCGTGTTTCTGTTACAGAAGCCACCCGCAGAGGTACCTCACACCCCAATGTGGACCCCTTTCCTGAGAGTGTGCTGTTTCTGTGTCCCTAGACAGACAGGCTGTCAAGCCCCTGGCTCCTCCCTTGTCACCCGCTCCGCTCCCCTCCCCTAAAAGCTGATGTGTTCCCAGCTCTGAGAGTGACTCTGGACCCAAAGCACCTCCTGACCTGAGACTCACGCTAAGGATGGCACGCGGGGCGTTCCTGCCACACACCCTCACCACAGAGTGTGACGGCTCCATCACACCCACCCTCACCACAGCACATGGGGCGACTCGATCACACATGACCTTCTCATTAGAGCAGTGTGGAGCATCCCTATCACCTCCCCCCTCAGAATATGTGGCGGATCCCTCTCACATCCCTGTCACACACCCTCCCCACAGGACCCCCACTAGCCATCACTGCACAGAGTTAACGCAGGGTGGGCTAGAATGCTGTGAAAACAAGCTTGGATACGGAGCAGTGTGCCCCATATCTTTAATGAAAATTGGAAAGAATAAGACAGATTTACAAAAACTGTTCTCAATCAGGGTTGAAACATGCGATTCGAGTAGGCTATAGGCAAGAAGTAGCAGAGTTAGTATGGAAAGTTTAGTATTTTGTTTCAAAACGTCATTACTAGCCACAGAAACACCAGTCCTGGTGACGCAGTGGACTGCCAACTGGGTGCTAAATGCGAGGTACAGACATGGGGTCTACCAAGCACTCTTCAGGAGGAAGATGAGGGTTTCTGCTCCCGTAGAGATTTAGACCCTACACAGGGTCTCTGAGTCACAACCAACTCGATGGCACACAACCACACCATCACCACAATTCACAGAAAATAAATCCCACGAGGATCTGGTCAGCAATCAGCTAGACCTTATACAATTTCTAGCACATAAAAACATGGTCTACAGTTAACATGGGTTTTTCATTAGAGGACCCAAGTGACCACAGGCCCTGTGACAAAACCTGACATGTAATCTAGTCACCTACTTTATGACGAAAACACATCAGAACATCTTCAAGAATGAAACAGTCTCCATTTGCAATTTCTCAAATTTGCAATTTCTCAAAATAATGTGATGCTAATTTTGAAGACAATTCCAAAATTTCCAGAAATGCTTTTCATGGTAACAAAATTCTTGGTGAATGTGCACGTATGCCAACGTGGACATTTTCGTGACAATATGGATGTCTCATGAGTATACATGATCGGCGGTTCAAACTCACCAGCTGCTCCTCAAACCCTATACAAAGTTGCTGTGAGTCAGAACCAACTAGATGACACATAACAACAGTAACACCCTGAGTGTACACAGATCTATCAGCAAATACTGACAAGCCAAACACCATCTTTTGCCATCAGACAGCTCAGATTTGCCAATTTTACTGAGTGCATAAAGCAGTTATCTTCTCAGACAAAACTGGAAGGAAAAGAATAACCAATTTAAAGCAGTAATCTTCAAAAAATTAAAATTGCAAGTATCCAAACAACTAAAATGATCCATCTAGTTGGGGGTCTTCCTCTTTTTCTCTGACCCTCCACCCTACCCAGCATGACATCCTTCTCCAGCGACTGTTTCCTCCGGACAATATGTCCAAAGTAGGAGAGACGAAGCTTAGCCATCTTGGCCTCCAAGGAGCACTCTGGCTGCACTTCTTCCAAAACAGATGACATGAACACTCTCCATAGAGGCATCAACAATGAAATTTCCTCTCTACACAGTAGTGGAGTTCTGGTAGCACAGTGGATTACGAGCTAGGCTGTTAACCGCAAGGCCAGCAGTTCGAATCTACCAGTTGCTCTGCAGAGGAAAGAAGAGGTTTTCTGTTCCTGTACATATCTCCAGCCTTGGAAACTCTGTACAGCATCGCTCCGGGTGGGAACCGACTCGGTGGCACACCGCCCCCCCTCCCCCCATAGGGTTCTCTTTCTAAGACCAGAAATACGCCTGGCACCTTCTTTCTCTTAATCTGTAAGTCATCACTTTCAGTTCTACTGCTTATAAGAATCTTAAATAATGATAAAAACCCCACTGCACCTTGCAAGGCACAGGCCTCTTGGTAGAACAATACCATTTCATTTGGTGAAGACAGTTATCTTTCTAAAAATGGCCCACAGAACGTAGAAGGCAAAAGTCCCCTCCTAGATATATTCCCAAGAGAAAACACACATGGAACTTTTACACGATGCTCACAATACTTTATACAAGTGCAAACAATCTAAGCTCCACCGACAGTTCAACAGGTAAGTAAAACGTGCTGTAGCCACACAATGGCTGTGAAAGAAGCCAGTCACAAAAGACCACATCTTGTGTGATTTCATTTCTATGAAATGTCCAGAACTGGCAAATCCAGAGACAGAAAGTAGACTAGTGGCTGCCGGGGGGTGGGGGTGGGAGGGCTAGGGAGTAAATGGTCAGGAGTCCAAGTTTCTTTTAGGGATGACAAAAACAGTCCCCAGTCGTTGAGATGGCTGCAAAATTCTGTGAAGATACTAAAAAGTCACTGAATGGTCCATGTTTAAATGGTATTTCAATAACCAAAACAAACTCCCAAAAACCAGAAAAAAGAAAACCACTTCACAGTGCAAGTGTGTCTATAGGAGATATTGAACCCTAACCGTCCACTGAACTAGCAATTTTAAGTTCCTAGAATTGGCAAACCTAGCAATCTATTCTCTAGTGAGCTAGCTTGACTGTAGTTTTCATTTCCTATGAACCAATGGAGCCAAGAAACTCTCACGTTCCCCACCTCAAGAACACCTCACAGACTGGGCTAATGAGCAGATGATGTCACCTTGCCAAACTGGCTCTAAGCACTCTCCTTGTAGATGGGAACCACAGGCCAGGCCTCAGCTGTGCCCACAGGTGGTTTGGATGAGTGGCTCAGGGGGGTTTGGCTGTGGTTTGTGGACCCTGCTCAATCCAGTGCCGCCCAACAGCTTCTACAATGATAGGAGGTAATTACTGACTCCCCACATTAGTCTACGTTTAAGTAACCACTTGTGGCCAGCGGAGGCTGCTGAATTGACCAGCAAGGCTTAGGACTGCTAACTAGCCAGTTTGATCACTGTTCGTTTGCATAGAAAAGAAACGAATTCATTCGTGCATTGTGAAAGCTGAAAAGCAGGGCTGTGACACATCAGAGGAGGGTCCGAGAAGCATGCCCTGATGTCAGATGCCCACACTCCATCCAGCACAGGCCCACGGCAGGATACGTGTAGAGTTCCATGTACCTGGACTTGGCCATACTCTGCCTGGTGTAGACCTGCTGGATCCCAGCTCTGAGGTCGTCCCAGATCTGGTCCAGGCCGATCTGCTTCAGCCCATGAGGGTTCTGGCTCCGGTTCGATGACATTGTGAGCGACAGTCTCCAGTCGTGCAGGGCAGTGATCCGTATTCCAGATGAGCTAATGCTCCATTAGATGGAAAAACTCGGTCTCCTCCCAAAGTGACTCACAGACGCTCAGAAAGGGTGTCCTCGAAACGCACAGAAGGGGCTCTCATTGCAGACAAACCTGGGGAGGAAGCAGTACAGGTGTCGTTAGTTCTCGTTGGGCGTGGGGTGAGGCGTAAGCGAGTGTCCCACAAAAACAAGTGGAAAAACCCTCTGCTTCACCAGGGGAAATGGTCACTATCTTGTCAGAAGAGCTTTGGCCAAAATGATCAGCATTTAAAATGGACCTTGAATAAGTTTCTGAACTTTGCTAAACCTCCATCTCCTCACAGGCATTGTAAAGTTTAAGTAAGGTAATACACAAGAAATTCTCAACACACAGACAAATGCTACCTGCTGTATCTGGGAGTCATCGCAACTCAAATAAGACAAAAATCCAGACACCGCTTTTGCTTCAAAATGCTATTCGTCTCTTTCTATAAATTACGACCAAACACATTTTAGCGGACGCCATCCCAGAAGTCAATGTTGAAGAGAGTGTTAAACAAGAAGGCAAGTTTCTAAAAAATGTAAAAAGAAACAAAACAATGCACTGACTTAAAACTGCAGAATCTTCACAAAAGAAAGTCTGTATTGGAGTTAGTGAAAACAGCTAAAATTCACTGATTAAATATAAAACATACTTTTTGCTGATCTATGGCAAGTGTCTTCACTCACACCTAAGGACCACGTGGCTCGCTTTTCTGACGGTTAGATCCAAGGCTAATTTAGCAGAGCAAACTCCAGGTCATTGAGAACTGAAACAGGAAAGCTCCCGAGCTGACAAAGTCTCAAGTAGCATCCCTCACAGATTCTTTAGTCTCGACCCCGAGAGAGCACTCTTGTGAGTGTGTCGCACCCCTGAGATGAGGCCATGGCGCCCAGCTGTCAGCTAGAGTACTCTGCTTGAAGCTCTAACAGCTCACGACTCAATGAGGAGACGCGTCCACAGCTGCAGGCTCTCCCACTCTGCCCAACTCGACACAGGTGGCCTCAAGAGGAAGCCTCCAGTCCCCAAATCTCCCAGAGGTCCAAGACGAGCTACGTTCTCTGGCTGTATGCCCTACAGAGATGCTCAAATGCCCCCCAGATGCTGGGCCTGCCTGTATTGCGGTGCTGCCTCTTGTCCTCAGACAGCCCCCTCCCAAGTTTCCGGTTCCTCTACCATGACATTGAAGTAGTCTCCTGACTGGCCTCTCTACCTTCCAATGAGTCCCTTAATGTGTCCTCATGGCTCTGTTCTGGTCTGTGGATCCCCGCACTCACACTTGGTCATGACATCAAGCTGCCAATGCCACCTCCCACCCACCCCTACCCCCAGCCCACCAGAGTTTGGGAGTATTGTCTCCAACCTGCCTCCCTAATGCTTCCTGAGGTCATGTCCACAACACACAGCTATCAGTCCGTTATGTGAGTACAGCCGGCCTTGTCCATCCTCACTGTTACCCCACACCCAGGGCACACCAAGCCTGCTATCCCAGACAGTCTGTAACAAGTGACTTCAGCTCCACGCTGGCTGGGTCCACCTCCAAGTGTCCTCCACCTGGAGTCACACCAAGACCTGGACATGCCCGAGGAGTGTGTGTGAGATGGCAGGCCCAGAGACTCATACCCCCGTGCTCCCCAGACGGGTTCTATTTTGCTTGAATTCTCGCTGACTAGCATTTGAATGTTGATTATGTACTTTAGTCAAGAAGGAATCTTAACTTAACTTAAAGATTGTTGTTGTTGTTATGTGCCATGGAGTTGGTTCCGACTTATAGCGACCCTGTACAGGGTTTCCGATGCTGTAAATCTTTACGGGAGCAGAACGCCTCATCTTTCTCCCGCAGAGCAGCTGGCAGTTTCGAACTGCTGTCCTTGTGGTTTGCAGCCCGATTCGTAACCACTACGCTACCAGAGCTTAACGATTACATAAGACCAAATGTGACCACACAATTGAAATTCAAGGTTTGAACTGTGTTACTCGACTTAATTGTCAACATCAATTCAGTATATCTCATCAGAGCCAGGACATTTTTGTTCAAACAAATTACAGGTGACAAGTACAGAAACGTTTCAATCAATATTCTAGTAAATGGCCTTCTAGGAACATTAACTGAATTTTGTCTCTAAATTATTTAAGGCCATTTGAGGTCTTCGTACCTCACAGCTACAACGTCAGACAAACAACATAAGCGCGTGCCTGAAGAGAAAACAGGGTCTTGCCTGCTGCTGCTCAAACAACTCATTCAAGCCCAACTTAAATCCTAAGTGCTTGAGTTGCCTCGTTGATGTCTCGAGTCAAAAGCCAATGATGAACCATCTGCTGCATTTAAACCAGGCACAAGAGACTGGTACACAGTGTTAATGCAGCGTTGTGTGCAACAACCAAAAGGTGGAGCCAATCCAAGTGTCCATCCACAGAGAGGCAGATAAACCTAATGTGCAGGCAGCGGAATGGTATTCAGCCGTAAATGCGACATCGCAGTGCTATCATGAAAACATGATGCGGAGGGAAAAACAGTCAGACAAAAGCACCAATATTGCAGGGTGTCACTGCTATGAAATATCAGACTAAGCAAATGCATTAGTGATTACTGGGAGTGGGGGCTGAGAGTGGGAAGATATTCTTACAGGGGACCAAATTTCTGTGGAGGGAGAGAACGGAGAGTAATGGCTACATACCATCATGAATACAATTAAGGTCACTGAATTGTACACCTAATAATGCTGAAAATGGCAAATGTTTCCTTAGATTTATTTGCTACAATAAAACCCAGCCAAAATAAAACCACAGGCTCAGTCAAACCGAAACTTATCATTCAACCAAAACCCAAACCCACTATTGACTTGATTCTGACTCTCAGCAACCCTATACAGGGTGTCTCTAAGACTGTAAATCTTTTGTAAACAGTGGGTAGGTTTGAACCACTAATCCTGCAGTTAGCGGCCCACCACCTAACCCCCAGCATGCCACATGACAGATCAATTCTACTACTAGGTCCCTATGTAATAGGAAACTTAGGTCCACGCAAAGGCTTATCCATGAACGTTCACTGAGTACTACTGGACAGCCACACAGTAGACACAACCCAAAGGTCCCTCAATGAATGAAGCAACAAAATGTCACCTACTCATACAATGGAATACTGTCTGACCACAAAGGAATGCCATCCCAACACAGGCTACCAAATGGATGAACCCCCAAACATTACACTAGGTGCAAGGCAGATGCAAGAACCACCTCCCACAGGATCCTGTTGGCTCTAATCAATGTCCAAATGAGAGAGACAGGAAGGGGACCGGTGGATGCCTGAGGAGGACTGCAACAGGTAACTGAACTTGAAGGAAACATTCTAAACTCAACTTGGGGGGATGACCTGCTAAAACTCACGGTGTTCTGTCCAGTGTAGAAATGATCCATCGATGACCTTCTGAAAGGAGTCTCGGTGTGGCAGCCCACACCCACCGGGCCCCCAAGGGAAACTCTATCCAGGGTGGCCTGTTCTCTCCCCTGAGGGCTCGACTGGAGAGCGCTCCCGGCACAATCATGGCCCACCCGGAGGAGGCAGTGACAGACACACAGCTCACCGCCCCATTAGAGGCTGCTCGACTCCTGCTTTGATACTGCAGGCTAAGATAAGCACAGGACTGCTAACCACAAGGCAGACGACGGTTCAAACCCACCAGCTGCTCCTCAGAAACCCTCCGCAGGGTGGCGGAGTCAGAATTCACTGGATAGCACGTAACCATAACATCAAGATCAGAGGAGAAAGAAATTCCCTCAGGTCACCATGATCAAGAAGGCATGGCAAGATGTGTGCCTGGAACCTTTCTCAGGACGGATGGACAAACAGAAGGGACAGCAGCAGAAGGGCTGTTTCCGCAGAGGACGCTCTTGTTTTACCACAAACTGTATTTTCATTCAAATGAGTGAGCCCTCCTCCCAGGAGCAGCCTCAGGGTGGAGCCACCACATCCCTGAGGGACTGGGCCAGGATTTAAGTCTTTTCATTACTTTTCTTTATGCAAAGACAAAATTCACCTTTAGTTGAAAAATTCTGATCAGCAACGTTCCCTTTTACCAAGCTTTCAAAGACACTTCCAAGTGTACTATACATTAGACTTAATGTGAAGCTTTTAAAACTATTTACCACCGTATCCACCCCACTGAGGAGAAACGGGAAACTTTGTGCATTGCTGGTGGGAATGTGAAATGGTGCAGCCGCTCTAAACAATTTGGCAGTTCCTCAAAAAGCGAAAAATCTGACCTAGCAATTCCACTCCTATGTCTACACTCAAGAAGAGCCAGAAGCAGAGTGCGTCCTTGGGGTGCTGAGATCACTGCATGCCAAAACTCATGGGTGTAGCAGATAGGACAGTGTGGATATGCAGCGGCGGCGGCCCGGAGAACAAGAAAGCTGAGGGCTTCCGCTGGGCATTGCTCAGCTGTGCTGCATGAGCTCTGTAACACTGCCTGGTCTGAGCAGAGGCCAAGGACCCAAGAAGGGGGCCTTGGGTCCCGGCCAAGAAGAGGCTTCCTGAGCACTGCTGTTGTTAAGAGCCCAGGGGTTGGTTCCGACTCATAGTGACTCTGTAAAGGGTTGCCCAACAGCAGCTAGTGGTTCAAACCGACATTGCAGTCCGGTGCATTAACCCACAGCGCCACCAAGACTCCACTGCTGACCCCAAGCTGTAACCTGTAAAAGTCCAAAACAGTGTGGCATTACAGGTTAATTTGTTGGACGGCAATGTCGGTCTGAACTGCAAGGTCAGTGGTTCAGGCCCATCAGCGGCTCCCTGGAAACCCTACACAAGGTCACTAAGGACTCGGAACCGACGCAGTGGCATTTCACAACAGCAGCATATGGTCAAGCATCAATGATACTGACAGAAGTCTATCAGCTGTACTGAAAGCGTCCTGGTGTGGCGCTGCAGGGT